TCTTTTTCTTCTTGACTTCGATCTACCATGTTTGTGACTGCTGCTTTGGCCACGTTCTGTTGATCTCCCTCTCATCGTTGTCAAAGCTTCTGCTTGTTGCAGATTTACTTGTATGTTTTCCTTGTTCTTGCGTCGATTTTCTTCTTGTAGAACAGCAGCTGCAACGTCATCGAAGACTAGACTGGTGATATTATTATTTGTCAAGTTGATGATGAGTTGATCATACGAATCCGATAGACTTTGAAGTAGAAGTTCAGCACGTTCTTGTTCTCCTATTTTATAGCTTAAGGATGTAAGTTGAGAAAATAAAGTGTTCAGCGTGTTTAAGTGCTCCGTCACTTAAGTAGATTCTGGCATCCGGAGAGTGTACAATTTCCTCTTAAGGAAAATTTTATTGTTCAGCGATGTGGCCTCATACAATTTGGTGAAAGTTTTCTCCTTAGCTGTCTTTTTCTCCTCGATGCTTGACAATACTTCATCTGCTAATGCTAGATAAAAGTTTTCCATAGCATTCCCGTCCATTTCGATCCATTTGTTGTCATCTATGAAATTCACCGGCCTTTCATTGATAGCTGCTAGACAACCGTCTTTCCTCAGGATGGCCTTCATCTTCAATTTCCATAATGAGAAATTTCTCACATTGAATTTTTCAATATCAAATTTCGTTGCCATAGCTTCTTTTACGGATAGCTCCCACTATTTCACTATCGTGAATAGTTCTCTAGAACCTTCAAAGAATGGGTAATAACTTCTTATTTTCTTATGTTGGAGGATCCACCTTTTGGTGGCAACCACAAAGACAATAAGCAGATATTACACACTCTAATCTAGCTCTGATACCAATTGTTGCGGAAGACAGCTATCGAATAGAGCAAAATTGCAACTGATAATTTGAGAAAATAAAATGAAAATAAAAGAGACACAAAATTTACGTGGAAAACCCCTAAAAAATTTAGGGTAAAAACCACGGGCAACGGTAGAAGAATTTCACTATGAGAAAATAGGAATTACAACCTCTCTCGATCTACCAAGGAGAAAACAATGATAATTCTCTCTTGATAAAAAAGGAGAAAACAACTCTCAAGAAACTCTCTAAATTCTCTCTAGTATTGGAAGAAAGCTAGAATGTTTTGAGATAGTTTTGAAGCTAAATGAGATAGGGTATTTATAGCTAAATCTTAAGGACTTAATCTTATAAATACCCTAAATTTTAGTGACTAGCGTTTGTAATTTGACCATATAAAAAATAATAAAAAATTATGCACCTAATTTTCGGTGCCAACCCATTTATTATTTTTGATTTTTTACAGTGTCAACTTGGGTGAAACCACCATAGGTGTGGGAGTTGCCTTTGCTCCTGCCATGCACGTACGTTTAAGAAGTTCTCAAACTTTCTTTGTCGTAACACCAATTGCTCAGAACTCCGTTGAACCTCTAAGCCCAGAAAGTAACTGAGCTCACTTAAATCCTTCAAGGAAAACTGTTTACCAAGCAGGTGAATAACTTCTTCAATAATGGCACTCTTCGATTCCCCAGTTACAATAATATCATCGACATAGATTAAAACAAAAAATACGTGCTTTATCAGTCAACCTCACAAACAATGAAGCATCAAATGAAGTTCCACGAAACCCTAAGTCATACAAACATTTTCACAACTTAGAAAACCACATCTGAGGAGCTTGGCACAATCCATACAATGCCTTCCTTAACCTATAAACTAGCCGAGAACCATCAACATATACTTGTTCAAAACCTGGCTGTTGATACATAAACACCTCATCGCTCAACTCTCTATGAAGAAAAAAATTATTTACGTCAACCTGACGTAAACACCATCATTGAACAACAGCCAACGACAACACAACGTTAATCGTAGCCGATTTTACCAAAGGACTAAGCGTGTCCTTAAAATCAGTCCCAGGGACTTGAGAAAATCCTCGTTCCAAAAGACGAGCCTTGTGCCTAGCAATCGAGCCATCTGCTAGGCGTTTTACTTTAAAACCCCACTTACATCCTATGGTAGAACATTCTTCTCGCAATGGCTTGAGCACCCATGTCTCATTCTTTGCAAGCGCATTATATTCTACAACTACTGCTTCTTTCCAAAGAGGATGCTTAAGTGGTTGAGTAATCGAACTTGGTTCATCACCATCATCATGCTTTTGAGCAAGAAAAGTCTTGGGTTTAAAAATTCCTCGTTTGCTACGAGTAACCATAGGGTGACCAACAGAAGAACCGATCACTAGTTGAGCTATAACTTCCTCCAATGGCCGATAAGAATTATCATGAACATCACTATTAGGAACCTGATCAACAAGATTATTAGAAGCATCTTCCAAATTTTGACATGTAGTATCACCTACAGTTTCACTCATTGTATCATCAGCATTACCATGCTGAACTGTAGTCAAAATCGGAGCAGCTGACTCCACTGAGATTCAGATACTTGTGAAGTTGATTGTGTAACATACAAACCTTGATTCATACCTTGCACTGCACCACAGACATGATCCGCCCCAAGCACAATATACATTGAAGCACCATTACGTTGTCGAATCTCTTGAGATGAATTAGTATTTTCCCTCAGCTCAGCGAACGAAAAAATGTGTTCATCAAAGATCACATGCCTCGATACATAGACCTTCCCATCTGGGGCTAAACATTGATAACCCTTATGTTGCGAGTTGTAACCAAGAAAGACACAAGGTTACGACTTGTAGGTCAGTTTATAAGGCTGAAACACTCGTAAGTGGGGAAAGCAACGACAACCAAATACTCGAAGATGACTGTATGATGGTTGTCGTCCATATAATCGTTTAAACAGAGACACAATCTACAACACTTTATTAGGCAAATGATTAATCAGATGAACAGTAGAAACCACAACATAAGACCAAAACTGAAACGGGAACGATGATCTTACTAGTAACGTCAACGCAATTTTAACGATATGACAGTGTTTTCTTTCAAAGACACTGTTTTGTTGTGATGTGTGAGGACACGTCACACAATGTTGAATCCAACACCGGAGAAGAACGACAGTCAACAATCGATACTCGCCTTCCCAATCACTTTGATTTGCCTTGATCTCATGGCCAAACTGAGTGCGAGTGAGCTGCTGAAACAATTCAAAAGCATGAACAACCTGCCTTTTATTCTTTAATAAATATAACCAAGTATGCCTTGAGTATGCATCTACAAAGGATACATAATAGAAAAACCCACTGGAAACAACAGAAGCAGGTCCCTACAAATCTGTGAAAACTAATTGAAATGGTTGTGTGTACTGTGACTTAGAATTAACAAGTCATTCTATGGTATTGATGGTTCTGGTGCAAGAAGTTTGGTAAAAAAGAAGTCATCTGTAGCAAATGTTTGTGTTCCATGTCAAATGGGAAAAAAACATAAACTACCATTTGTTACTTCTCACTCACAGTACACAGATCCGCTTAAATTGGTTTTCACTTATTTGTGAGGACCTACACTTGTAATTTCGGGGTTGATTTTGGAGATTTAGGGGTTAGATTCGATTTTAGGGTTAGAGTAGAACATTTTGGTGTAGTTTTAAGTTTCCGGGACACCAGAGGTAACGACAGAAGCGGCGGTGGACGGTGGTGGGCCGTCAGTAAGTGGCCGACCATTGGCTAGTGGGGGAAGGGTTAAGAGCATTTGGGGAGGATTTTTTGGACATTTTTTTGGTAAAATGAGATAAAATAGTTTTTTTGTGGTTTTTTGGGAGGACCACAGTGTAAATATGAAATAGTTTAATTATTTTTTCGGTCCCTGTAATTTTGATGCCTAATTCATTTTGGTCACCCATTGTAATTTTGCCATTGAATTTTGAATTAATTCAATATAATCCCTATTTATTTTCTTATACTTTGCAAATTGACCCCCTAATGTTTTTATTTTTCCTCGCAATTTTCATTTAGCATCAATTTGACCCCTAATGTTTTAATTCTTTCCAATTTAATCCTTCTTTAATATTTGTTTTTTATTTTAATACTTATTTTATTTTATTTAAATTTTTTAGGGCAATTTTAACTTGGTCAAAGGTAAGTAATTCGGATAAAATATTTTAAATTTTAATTTTAACTTTTAAATTTCGCAATTAAGACAATCGGGAAATCAAATTGGTACCGAAAGGGCAGTATAGTTGTGCTAATCCTTCCCTGACTGTAATCGACTCCCGAATCCGACAAATTTCTGATAAGTTGTAGATCATATTACGGTAAGTTATGGTATTCAATCGACCAAATTAAAATGATCGGTGGCGACTCCAACGCATAAATTTAAGTCGGAACCCGATTCCGATACCACCCGAAGGACGATTACGACATATATATAATTATTAATAAATATATACAATATCAAATTATAGTTAATAAATAAAAATTAAGAAATATTTATGAGATTAATAAATATTAACAATATATAATATATATTGTAATTCTTTTCAAATATATGATTTAGTTTAATGATTAAGATGGTTCATCAATGCTTAAAATTTTAAGTTTGAGTCCCCTTGTTAGCATTATTGTTTGTTTTTTCAATCATCAACTAAAATAGGATATATAGAAAATGTTGTTTAAATCCAAATTGGGGTTTAGCTCAGTGGTTCTTGTGCGTGCATGACTAATTCTTACCCCTGGTTTGATTCTTGTCTAGCACAAATCTCTCAAGGTGGCGACACTTAATTGGTGGAAAAATAAATTGGAATAGATAAATTAAAAAGTAAGAAAATATCATCTAATCAAATAATGACGCATGTGATTATCTAATTGGAGATTAAATTTATTTTATTCGAATTAAATTATGAGCAAATTGATAGGATGTAAAATATCAAGAACCAAATATGTAATTATACAAAAAAAATTAACCGCCATGTCACAATTGATGGTAATCAAGTATTTAAATAGTTGTCTAGTCTGATTGATAAAATCAAAACATCGATAGTCAAAATAAAAGGAGCAATAGTTAAATGATGTCAGCGTAGTATGAGAGTATTTCCTTTTGCTTTAAGAATCATGTGCTCTCTTCCCCTGCTTAAAATATATGAACATTTTGCTTCATATGTTGAGGGTATAGGGCGATGGGTGTTCCTGAAACTGAACCACCTTCTGGTACTTCAACTCAAACTCTACCAGGCATTCATATTCTCAATCCCCATCCTCTTTTCAATCATTCTCTTTCTTTTGTTTTACCTCTTTTACATCAAGAGAAGAGCCTTCAATTCCTCTAATCGCCCTCTTCTTCCCACCGCTACTAGTTTTAACCCCACGGTAACTACTCTTTATCTTATTCAATTGGTACCCTTCGCATTTACTGTTTTTTGCATTTACCATGCAGCCTTGTCAACTGAGTTTGAAAAGGGAGATTGCAGATAAGCTGCCAACCGTGTTATTTGATGAAGAGCTGAGGACAAGGGATACGCAGTAAGTTTTCATATTTATCTGGGTTCAAAAAGGGGGGTGAAGTTTTCATATTTATCATTTTTCAGTTTAATTATGGCATAATGCAAACAAATACCCCTAATGTTTGGCACTATATGCATTTGTGCCCAAATCGTTTTTTTTAGCAATTCTACCCACAACGTTTGTTTATGAGGCATAAGTCCCCTCGTTGGATGGAATCCGTCAGTCAACTGACGGTTAACAGGTCCATCTGACGTGGCATGCACATGTGGTCACCGACGATGTCGTGGCATTTCCACGTCACTAATATGTGCTGACGTAGAATTTACACGTCAGTTTTTTTTAAATTTCAATTAAAATTTTGTACCAATAAGAGAGCGACACATGTCACTCTCCTATTGGTGCGTATTGGAAAGAATGAATAAAATGTTGTTATTTGCGTGGAAGGGGAATCAAACCTGGGGCAAGGGCATGAAATGAGATGGCCCTTGCCACCAGGCCAAGCATGCTACTTGGTTAAGTAATGAAACAAAATCTTATTTAACCCATCATCCGACTATAAAACAGAAATGGACGTGGAATGCTATACACCTCTGCCTTATCTGTTTATAATACAATTACTAATGTTTAGAATTTATTAATTTTGGATACAATCTGCAAACTCATACACCAAATATTCTGATGATCATTCTCGATCAGTTCTTCGGTCTTCACCCGACGCGAGTATTGTTTGACATCGATTTTTAGACTAGAGAAAAGATTGATAGCACAGATTTTGTGAAGAGTTCTCCAAAGTGGTGAAACGGGTATAAACGAGAGCCCAAATTCATTGAATCGACAAGCTCGGACGACATCGACGATAGTTCAGTTACAGAATACGAGGTCTTGTTCTTTCAAGACTTCTTTCGCGGTTGTTTTCGATGAAACGACGACGGTGAATAAGCTGCAGAGTTGGAGACGCATAACGGCGCTGTGAACCTGAGCGAGCTTAGCCAATAACCTGTGGGGTTTATCGCCAAGATCGAAGAGGTTACCGAAGAGGACGACATCGACGATGATACGGTTACAGAAGACGAGGTCCTGTTCTTTCAAGACTTCTTTCGCGGTTGTTTCCGATGAAACGACGGCGGTGAATAAGCTGCCGAGTTGGAGACCCATAACGGGGCCTTGAACATGAGCGAGCTTAGCCAATGACCTGTGGGGTTTATCGCCAAGATCGAAGAGGTTGCCGAAGATCGGCAGCCACCGTGGACTGGGTGGGAGCTTGGTTTCATTTTGTTTACTTCCGTTTCTAAATGAGCTTAATGCTTGAAAAATGCTTACCCTTTCTTAATTGTCGTCGCCGGAGTCAAAATGTCGGTTTAAGAAGTTGAGGAGCCAAGTCCTCCTAGACGCCGGCAGTGGCTTGCGTCAGGTTTGGGGGCTCATTTTTTTAGGTTTAGACAGAGAAAGGAGTTGGGTTTGTTGTAGGTTCGAGTTTTGGTTAGGTAGACCACCATAGGTGTTGGCCGAAGGGTAGAAGAATGTTGATTTACGATGGCGATGGTCTCTCTTTAGCTTATGTCGAGAGTTTAAAAAAATAATGGAAAGGAAGGTGAGAGTTGTCGGCGTTTTTGGGTTTGTTTGGGGGCCTCTTCGACTGCCTCAAGTGGTGGTTGGGGAGTAAACTGCTGTCGAGGTCAGGTGGCTGGGGTATCGTTGCATTGGGGCCATTGGGGTTGAGAGGCATCGCCGCTCGTGCATGTGTGAGGAAGAGAGTGGACAATAAGAGGGTTGTTTAGTTTATGTTTTAAGGTTTCCTTTTAAGCGGATTAGTAATAACATGGACGTCCATTTCTGTTTTATAGTCAGATGATGGGTTAAATAAGATTTTGTTTCATTACTTAACCATGTAGCATGCTTGGCTTGGTGGCAAGGGCCATCTCATTTCATGCCCTTGCCCCAGGTTCAATTCCCCTTCCACGCAAATAACAACATTTTATTCATTCTTTCCAATACGCACCAATAGGAGAGTGACACGTGTCGCTCTCTTATTGATACAAAATTTTAATTGAGAATTAAAAAAACTGACGTGTAAATTCCACGTCAGCACATATTAGTGACGTGGACATGCCACATCATCATTTGTGTAAATTCCACATCAGCATAAAATAGTGACATGGAAATGCCACGTCATCGTCACATGTGCATGCCACGTCAGATGGACCCGTTGATCGTCAGTTGACTGACGGATTCCATCCAACGGGGGGACTTATGACTCATAAACAAACGTTGTGGGTAGAACTGCTAAAAAAACGATTTGGGCACACATGCATATAGTGTCAAACGTTAGGGGTATTTGTTTGCATTATGCCTTTAATTATTCCCCAAGTCCCTGTACTCTTCCGACTTTTGAATTGAGAATACATATTCAAATTCAGTGGAAATCAATTAACAGTGTTATCCATTGGACTTCAATTTTTAAGTTAGACAAGACGAGAGACAAAATTTCTGCTGGAATTATATTCAGAGATACTTAATTTTAAAAGTCTAAAGGAGGCAAGGACTGGGGGCATAATTAGACCACCACTTTCTGTTTTTCTTTTTTATCAGTTTGAGGGTGTTTGCATTGCTGTTAATCTTGGTTTTCTGATATTTACACTGAAATTATAGATAATTTTATCAGTAACAAATCAGAGACAAATGTAAGGGGCTGATAGAGTACATGTCCCCTTCTATAATGGTAAAAATGTTATTTTAGTCCCCTTTAAAATTTTAAGTTTTAAGTTCAGATAATGATAAATTTGTATTATGATAAATGATAAGATTTTAATTTAATTCTTTTAAAATTATAAAACTATAAAGTAAATCAACGGTAAAATAGTTTTTAAACCTTGAGAGAAAAAATTAATTTACTCCTGACCTCAAACAAAATCCCGACTTTGTCAATGTAACTAAAATACATTAACCCATCGAATGATCTAAGTAGTAAAAGGGAATCACTATTAAGAAAATTCTGAACGGATATTCCAAAACTATTAAAAAAACTAAAATACATTAGGTTGAATTAACAATCCAATATGCCCTATACCATGCTTTTGAGGGGTGACTATATATCTCTGAAATTGGTAAAAGGTGATTGTATGGACAATTGAGCATCGATAAAGTGGGTGGCCATAACAGAAAAGGCATAGACGAGGACTTGATTTCCAGAATCTAATGCTTTTCATTTTTATTTAACCACAAACTATGGAGAATTTAACAAACGAATAAGGGCCATCCATATCAAAGCACAGAATCAATCCCATTCTGAATTCCTTTTTCAAATACAAGTACATAATTCCTGGTATTTTTTTATGAATGATTAGTGGTAAATTGTATAGCTTTTTTACTAAATGAATTCACAACTTTTTGGTAAAAATATATTTACAGATGCAGCTTCTGCTTAGTTGATTTTGAGGTGAAAGAGGAATTGCTGCTACTCCCATCGTGTAAACACGTGTTTCACATTGAATGCATGCATGGTTGGCTACGTTCCAACCTTACTTGTCCGCTTTGTAGATGTTGTGTTTCCCTTACCATCACCAAAATACATCACCACCACTCCATCAACTGAATCTGTCATCTTAGCCATAACCAACCCTTCTCTTGTTTATTTACATGATCTCATTTTCAGTTTATTTTATTCTTCCATCCATAATACGTTTAAATCTTGGAAAATAACAGCTCGTCTCAATGGTTAAAGGGAGTGTTATTCTTCCTAAAGATCATGGGTTCAAGCAGTGTATGAGGGTGTATATGCGTTGTCAATGACTAAAAAAAATTCTAAATAAATACAATCTTATAATCATCCTAGACTATTATAAAAAAAATAGTTGGAGAATAAAAGAAAATTATTACACTTGTGACAAGAAAGTAAAAATGTTTGTATACGTGAATTCCATATATATAATATATGAGTTAAGATCCACATACACTACATAAAACTAGTAAGTTTTACACTAATTTATAGTATTTAGATTTAAATAAATAAATGGATTAGATTTAATTAAAATTTATAACCCATAACTCAAGTAAAACAATATGTTTTCTATTAATGGTTAGAGTTTAGGGTTTAAGATTTTGAGTTTGAGATTTGATATGGAGTACAAAGAGATATTGTTTTACTGTGAGTTAAAATTTATTTATTTATGGGTTATAAATTTTAATTAAATCTAAATTATTTATTAATTAAATCTAATGATTAAATTAATATAAAATTTATTAATTTTACATAGTGTAAACAGATCTTGCCCCTATATACATTGTCCAAATGGGTTGCAAATGCAAGTAATGGAAAATTTCAGTGTTATTAATTTGTAAAGAGAAATTTAAATTGGCATCATTGAATGGATTGATTTAAGTTTTTTATATGAAAAAGAAATAATATAGTAACGAAAGAAATGGTTAAAATAAGGTCGTATGTAGGGGTTGAGCTTAGTGCTAAAGCCATCACTTGGTCATGGACATACAGCCATATGCTGATACCCTAGCATTATAAGCAGTGGGCCAAACTTTGTTGATAAAGTTTATATCTAAGGGCATTTGGTTCGCGGAAAATATCATTATCAAGGGGAATGATCTTCCGGAATTGTATTCTTATGTTTAGTTCACAGAAAAGATCATTATCAAGGAGAATGATCATCCGGAATTGTATTTTAATGTTTGGTTCACGGAAAAAATCATTACCAGGTAATAACTTATTACCAATTGTAGCATTTTCGAGTTCAAATGGTGGGAATGTCATTATCCCAAATTCTTAGGTAATTAACAATTCCCACCACTTTTAGACACTAATAACCTTGAAATAATAATTTTTTTCATATAAATCTTTCTCAATTCTTATTCTTCGTGTTTTACTCAAAATTATAAACTTAATAATAATAATATAAAATGAGTTTAATTTAGTAAAATATTGATAAATTTAAGTATTTAAAATTATTTTATATTTTAATATTTAGTATATTAATTATTTTATAATTTTTTGAGGTGAAAATATTATTATTGTAAAAAAATATAATTTTAAAATAATATTTAATTTTAAGTTACTAAAAATAGATATTGTACATTAAAAAATAATATGTTTATCCACTCGAGGTCACAATATTATTTTCCATATTATTTTATATTTTATATAAATAAATGTGATACATATGAAAATTATTTAAAATTATAAGTTTGATATATTAATTTTATTAATTATGTGTTAAATGTATTTTTTAAACTTAGATAGCATAATAATTAAAATGTTTTTATAAATTTTTTATTCAAATATTTATAATATTAAAGTTGTACTTGTTAAAATAATATATATGACAAGAATAAATTGGTAAAATATACATCCAAGTAATCTTATATTCTTTCAACCAAATATTGTAATCTTACATTCTTGCTAAACAAACCAAATAGGATAATACAACATTCCCAAAGTAATGTTACATTCCAGTAATCTTATTATCAAATGTAATCTTACATTCCGTGAATCAAACGGTCCCTTAAGAAATTATAATCTCACGGACGGAGCTATACATGGAGTGGGAGGGATTCTTGCCCCTCCCAAAATTTTTAGTTTAATAGTGTTTTAGGTTCTTATCAATTTAAATTTAAGTAAATTTGAACTTTTTCCCCATCAATTTTTAAATTAAATACATAATAAGTCCTTATTATTTTAAAATTAAGTACCTTGTTCCTCCTAATAATTGATATTGGCTCATCTCGTTTATAGTCTTGCTTGGTATTGTTTTAAAAACATATTACAAGTCCTTATGGTATTTTTTTATAATTTTTTAACTTTTATGTCTATCTTATAATCTATATTTGAGTTTTACGCATGGACTAAATGATTTTAGTGGTTAAGGGATTGTTGTCATCTCTTGAGGTCACGGGTTCAAGCACTACGTATACTAGGGGTATGAGCGTCATTGTAAAATATTTGAGGGTCTTTAAGCATATACTACCTTATATTCAAATTTATTATTTTTTAAAATCAAATGTCAAAAACGATGCATCTTCAATTATTTATCAAAATGAATTTTTTATTAAAATCTAAAAAAAGATCTATATGACTAGAAGTAGGGGTGTGTAAAAAGATCTGATTATATCGGTTCAATTCATTGATCTGGTGATCCGATCCGAAAATTCAGATATCCGATCCGTCTTTTATCTTCGGATAATTCAGATCGGATATACGAAAAATTTCGGATAATCGAATCAGATACGGATCAGATAAATTTCAATTTCGAATTATACGGAAATACATTGGTCTTTTAGATTTTAGATACATTTAACCTAATAAATGAGTAATCCACTAACTCATTATAGCTCTAACCCAATAAAAATTAGGATATTTGATTATTTATTGTGTGTGAGTAACTAAATATATATATAAAAATATAGTAGAAGTATAGAATAAGTTACATTAAATCATAAAATTTAAAATTACTTTTTTGTCAAATTAAATTTTAAATTCGGATTCAAATATCTGATCCAAAAATTTGGATATCCATTTTTTCGGATCGGATATGAATCACTATTCTAGGTATCCAAAATTTTCAGATATCTGAATTTTTGGATCGTATCCGATATCCGAATTTGCACACCCATAACTAGGAGCATTTTTGCTAATGTGGAAGGATCCCGGAAAAATATTTAAAATTATAACAATCGAACACTGAACAAAAAATTGAAAGCCATTAGAATGTGGATGTTACTATACAGTACATGGATGAACTAATAGAGTAGATATTATCGATTAGTACATGTATGAACCATCAGAACATAATATATATTACCAATCAGAGCATGAACAAAAAAATAAATAAATAATGAAGATTTGAAGTTTATGATGGTAAGGCGATGAGGATTTGGGGAAGATGAGGTTGATGAGAATTTTGGGTTTATAATGATTTGGGTTTGGACGGGTTAAGTTCATAATGATAAGAGTGAGGTTCATGGAGGTTTAGGGTTTAGGATGGTGAAGGTGAAACTACTGAGAATTTAAGATTTAAGGAGTTAAGTATGAGGTTGGTGAAGATTTAAGGTCTTGAATGGTATGTGTGAGGTTGATGAGGATTTAGGGTTTGGAATGTTAAGGGTAAAATTGATGAAGGTTTAGGGTTTTGGGATGATAAGGTGAGACCTGGGGTTGGTGATGTGAGTGGGGCTGGTGAAGATTTAGGGTCTAGGACGGTGGACGTAATGTTATTAGGATTGGAATTAGGGTTCAGGGACTTTATTTCTTTATTTCTTTTTACTTTGAATCACATGTAACATAAATATTAATAAATAAATCATGTCACATTAAAATATTAATAAAATAAATTAAATCATTGCACATTTCATGATTTAATGATAGAATGATCAAAGCAGGAGTAATTTGAAAGTTGATTAAATTAAAAAAAAAATAAGCTTCAATGACCAAAATCAAGATGAAGGTAAAATTGAGTGATGAAATTTATAATTTACCCTAAAAATTATTAAAATAGTCGATCAAAGTTATAAAGTGTTGATAAGAGATGTCATTTTAATTTTGATTGCTATTAAATTTTATGTTTGATTCTGATAAATGATTCCCCTTAATATCACAAAAATTATTAAAATGCTCTCAACATGATCGTGGTTGGGGGATTTCCCAGCAGTCCTTGACGCGAGGGCAGGTGTAGGTAACGATCACTACATATTGAAAATGTTAAATATTTACTTTAAGCGAAAAAATACTTTAAATGCCCAGAGTTAATTATTAAGCCTTTTATAATATTTTGTTAAGAGCTGAAAAGATTCAAAGAGTTCATACCGAGAATAACAGGGACTAGACCCCATAACCGTTAATTTTATAGCTATTAAACGAGATATGATACCATTTGAGCCATACATGTCAGGGGTCAAAAACAAACATTCAGATTAAATTTATTTTATAGGGAAAAAAAGAGTGAATTCAAGAGAAATTTGTTGGCATGCCAAACCAGTCACAGTTTTAGCAAAATTATTAAATACCATAATTAGAAAAATAAAAATTGAACTTCAGTACATTATAGTTTAACGATCAAAGGACAACATTAGTAGCATTTGACATAAAAGTCTGAAAAATTAAAGCAAATACAATATTAAGTAGCATTATCCATTCTTTAGTTCCATACCATACATAAATATATAGCAACAAGTTCCAAGTGACAGTTCGAGAGGGAGCCCGTGTTTAGGATCACCCGAGTTACTAACCATGGTCGTCAGTCGGTACATTAGAAGAGAAGAATAACCCCAAGAAACCAAAATATCTCCTATAGGGTTACATGCAAAATGCTTTGACCTCCACATCCAGTCATGGAGCTCTTTTCATGATGAAAATATTATGGGGGGGGGGGGGAATACAAGCTACGTTGATGAATTTACAAAAGAAAACAAGCTAGGGTTAGTTTTTTTTACGTAAACATGATCTTCCCTTTGCCATGGGGAAGATGGTGTTTGTTTTAGATATATTATTACATAAGCATTTTAAAAAATATATGACTGCATGGTCCTAGCTTTTAAACCCTAAAAACTAGATGTCAATGCACGCACGAGAAACTTTGTTGCTAAAACTGCCTCATTATCAAGAGGTGATTAGCCATTTCAAAACAAAAATCGAAAATGGGTGGCTTGCCTTTTCTTGCTGAATTTACAAATTTTGCACGCCATTTTTCTGTTTATTAGCCTTGCCTAGGCTAAGAGTTAGAAGAAAAAAGAAAGAAAGTAAAATGTTTTGATTAGCCTTTCCATGGGCTAATGGTGCAAAAAGTTTTCCCAACTTTGCTGATCCAAGTAGCAGAAGTTGGCATCTAGATAAGAAAAAAACGCTTTGCTTGTCTTCAACAAACCATTGTTGATGAAAAGATGCAATTGAAAAAAACATGCATGATTCTCCATTCTTTGGAGGTGATTGGAGTTAGATAGAAATAGAGGGAGAAAAGGAAAACCATGGTTAGGCCCAAGGTTGAGACTTTAGAACAGCTTGGAATGAATCTTCTAGGATGAAGAGCCATTGTCACACCTGTTGCACAGCAAATATACATGATAAAGACACAACCCTAATTGTTAAACTTGAAGATAGTATAGCGGATACTGCTTATTTCAGGAAATATGGGGTTTTTACTTGTACAATACGAACCTTATTGCAAGGGTGGAGTAGGTGCAAGAGCCACCGGTGCACCGAAGTGCTGTGGATAGCTCCCGGTTGAGCAGTGAAAGAGGTGATGTGGGAAATGGATACCGTATCCTTGGCCGGAAGGACAGACAGCGCCGGCCATTCCTTCTCCGAAAAGATAGGGGTAGAATGCTGCTCCGGTGCCAGTCATCATGCCACCTCCATACACCGGATACTGGCCGGTGGTCCCTCCGTACACATTGTAGTAGCTCTGAACCATAACCACACAATTCCCAAAGTTAGACATATGATGCATATTCCTCAATGTAAACTAGGAATGAATATATAGACAAGCAAATCATGGTGAACAAACCGTGGGGTAATTAGAGTAATCAGGCGAGTAGCTGTAAGAGTGCAAAAGGGAAATACGATTAGGAAATTCATAGTTGAAGAAATAGGAGCAATAAATTATGTGTATTTTTATTTTAGAATTTTGGAAAATAAAGGAAAAGGCATATACCCTACCCATAGAGATTAAAAGGAAATCCAGGTTGGATGGCATAATAATGAGGTGGGAAGGTTGCTGCCGAAGAAAACGCTGTTGCTTTCGGCACACATTTCATTCCCCTCCAATTCCTTCCTCCTGCACCAATTTCTATTTTACTATTTTCCTTTTGAAGGCATAATATTAAATTCTGATGGCCATTTAATATAACCATCGTATGATATTTTGAAGTCGACATAATAATGTAATCGCATCACAGTTTAAAAATATCTAATTTTTCAGAAACAAATCACATCCGAGACAACAGTTACAGTTACACGATCCATAACATCTATAGTATCATCAACAATTGTATGATGGCAATCGCATTCGTAACAAACACAACCACAATTTAATATTATGATTTATCACTTTAATGTATTTATTGCCCTTTGTTTAGTTTCTATTTACTGAAAACAGAATATTTTCTAGGATATTTACCTGTAATAATGTTAAATATAAACCTCGTATATATATGGTTAGAATCCACTTAGGCCCAACCTTTTAGAACCGTTTGATTGAGAAAAATCAAATGCTGAAATTAACTCCTTAATTTTCTCCATATATATATATTTTATTAAGATCCACCTACACAATGTAAAACTTTTTAATTTTACATAGATTTAAAACCGTTTGATTAATGAAAATGGAAGATTGAAATTAACTCATTGTAATAATTTCGGTTATAATTGAGAATGTTATATTGTGACGAATTTTAGCATAAATGTTATATGTCAAATCTAAAAAGTTATGTTTAATTAATTATAATTTTGATTACAACAGAGAATGTTTTAGCGTTGCACGAAACGAGCAATGAAAATTGTAGTTATTTCTTGAAGTCTTGGGTTTGAACATTAGAAATATCATGGGTTTGAACGTTCCATGTAAAATGATTAATTATCTTTGAACATATATTATCTTGTAATTACTTAAATTAATAAAAAATACTTTAACGGTAACCTTTTTAGGTTGTAGCCAGAATATTTATGAAATTTATATTGTTTATTACAGAAAACTTAATATTTTCAGTTTTAATAAAAAAAAATATTACTCATATTACTTTGAAAAATTAAAATATTGAGAATCGATTTCTACTGTTTTTAACCTTAACCGACTGTATTTTAGACTATATATACACATTTAATCTTTATACCAAACCCTAAATTCATTAATACTAAACCACAGACGATTCAAAAAGAAAATAGGTAGGGAAAGCAAGTAGTCACCATGCTTTGGAGTAGAAGGTTTGGATCTTTGAACACCCAAACAACCCAGATTGCAGTTAGCCCTTCTCCCGTCGATCACCGGGGCAGCATCAAAGCAAGCTCTCGTGGCTGCTTCCGGTTCACGAAACGTCACCTATATCAATACACATGCAAATCCAAACAAAAAATTATCAAATTTCAATTTAAAATAAAACCCATCAAAAATCACTCACAATACACGAAGGATCTGCTGATAAAAGACAAAAAAACAGTATGAAGAATGAAGAGATTAAGCGTACAAATCCATAGCCTTTAGATCTGCCAGTGGCCTTATCGGTGATGACGACGGCCTCCAAGATATCGCCGAATTGCTCAAAGTACTTCTTCATCGTATCTTTCTGGGTTTCCCAAGCCAGCCCTCCAACGAACACCTTTGTGAAAGTGGTATCACCGAATTGCCCACTCATTTTTTCTCTCTGAAAATTATGAAAGGAAGAGCAACTTTGATCTTTGGTTTCAAAAACCTGAATAAGAACAAGAAGAAGAGAATGTAGATCTGAAGGATGTGATGGGTAATTTCTAGATTTGGAGTGAATGAGAAGTGTGTGTTTGGTGGTGTGTGTGTGATTTAAGGTGGAAAAATGAAAGGAAAGAGAAATGGAGGGAAGGGAGAGACAGCAAAAGTTAAAGAAAAGAAGAGGGAACACACTCTCTACCTGCCTCATGAATCATATAACACAGCTCACCCCACTGCTTCTTTACTCCATTTCCTCCTCTCACGCGCCTTTTTTCACTTTCCATGCAATTAAAATAAATTTTGATTATGTATTTATTTTATTATATAATCACAAAATTAACCTTTAATATTTATATGACTTAAATATAAAAAAGGTGTTCAACGTATTTATTTGGTTTCAGTTTGGTGTCTAATATTTTTTCGTTCTAATTTTGTGCCTAAAGTTTCATTCCGTCTTTTTGGGTCAAGCCGTGACGGAACACTAATTTCGGTCATTAAGTGACACATGTCACAACCTGGTTATTTTAAAAATTATTTAAAATAAAAAAAATTAAAACTATATATTTTAAAAAAAGAAAACATAAATTTTGAAATAAACCCAAAACTTTGAAAACCTTCATTTCAACCCCTAAACCCACATCGACCATTGCCTTTTACCGTCGACGAAGCTCTACCTGACTCCCTTGACCTCGGCGACCAAAACCCCCATAAAATCATGATTGATCGACGACAAATTGATGACGAATCAACGTCTTATACTCGCAAACCCTAGGATGAAAATCATGATCCCACGCGATTCTGGCAGCCCATCGACTGTCGATCGATCACGATTTCATGAGGTTTTGGTCGTCGAGGGGTTGGGAGGTCGGGTGGAGATTCGTCAACGGCAAAAGAAGGCTGTCGGCATGGGTTTAGGGGTTGAAATGAAGATTTTCATGGTTTTGGGTTTATTTCAAATTTTGTGTTTTCTTTTTAAAAATATATATATGTACTTTTCAATTTTTAAATTTTTAAATAATTTTTTTAAAATTATTAGGTTGTGATAAACGGTCTGTCATGGTCTGACCCAAACTGAGTTATGGAATGAAGCGTTAGGTGTCAAATTAGAATGAAAAAACGTTAAGCACCAAACTAGAACCAAATGTATACATTGAGCACCTTTTTTATATTTAAATCTACTTATAAAAATAACCATTTTATTTTCTATTCTGAAAAATCAACTCAAATGCCGTTATTTTAAATTTAAGCTTTAATACTTGTATTATATGGTTAGATTTAACAATTTAAGCTATGAAACTTCTGAGTTTTTAAAAGTTTTATCACTTGCAAGTATATCTTAGGCCCAGTTTTTCGTGATTTTTTAAAAGCAAATTTAGTTAAAAAAGTTTGTTTTTACCATAAAATTAATATCAAGTGATAAAAATAAAAAAAAATTACGGTGAAAATGGTACTTTCAAACCAATCGCAAAAGATATGATTTCTAGTTTTTTCGTTTCCACTTTGTGTTTCAAAACACATTATAATTTATCTATTTACATTTTATTTTAATAATTTAATTACTTAATAATTTATTTTAATTACTTAAAAATAAACAAAATTCATGGTTTATATATTAAAATATTAATAGTGAGTTATTATAAAATATATTTTTATTATAGTTATATTTTTATTATAATATCTATAATGAATATTTTACATTTTCAAAGACACTTTTCAACAACAATATCAAACAGTTAAATTTTAAATTACACTATTAAACATCGCTTTTTAAAAGTTATTTTCTACAGTACTTTTAAATATCACTTTTCAGAAGCCCAAGCAAACTGACCCTTAGTATATTTTCATGTAAGTCATGCAAAGGAATTTTTTACTAATTTCAATCCACTATTACCTCTAAATTTATCAAATAATTTTTTAATAGTTCAGGATGATTAATAGATAGTATCTGTTCATTTTTTTTAAACATTGACAACTAGGGGTGTTCAAATGTACAATTCGAACTACTCGGTCTATTGATCAGTCGATCTGGAATAAAATTATCAGGTACTTTAGAGGTAAATAACCGATTTTGGCGACCAAGTACCTAACATGTTATTTTTGGCCGGTTTTTTGGTCGGGCCTGGATCACAAAATTACTCTTAATTGGGTACCCGTCGACCCAATTTTTCTTTTTTTATTACTATTTTTATTTTACATTTGATTTTTCATTTCTAATTTCAAAATTATTTTACCCTAACATGCTAAATCTATGTTTTTAAAAATTATTTCACGTTAACATTTAAATTATTTTTTAAATTATTTACTTTAATCTTAAATTATTTTAAATTTTGTTGTAATTTTATTATTTTTTTATTTTTTTTATATAATTTTAAATTTTATTTTAGATTATATAATTTGAATTTATTAATTTTATATTTATGTTATGTATTATAAACTTTTAAGTTTTAGATTTTATGTTTTTCTATATGAATTTTTCTGAAAATTAATACAAATTAAGAAAATAAAATAAATATTAATCCGGTACCAAAGGCTCGAATATGCAGGTACCCAAGTTTTATGGGTAGTTGAATTACAAGTACCCGTCTCTTACGGGTCGGGTCATGGGTCAAATATTTGTACCCGAAAGTTCGGGTACCCGGTATTTCCGGCACCCGAAAATGCAAGTACATGGATTTAAACACCTCTATTGACAACGTACATACATCATACAGTCTGCAAACATAATTGTTTGCACTCAAGATATTTAAAGAGAACACAACTTTAATATTGGTTGTATCGTCATCAGGTTGTGTCGATGTTGGGTTTTCAGAGATTCATGCTCTGAATGCACTATTTTCTTTGGCATGTGAGTATCGGTGGATGCATGCAATCATTGAATAGGACTAAATGCTTGTAGTCAACAAGTTGTCTCAACTGGAGGAATTCTCTATGTTGGGTTATCATCTCCGGGAAGCTCATAGGATTTTGGATGCTAATTTAAATTACAAAGTGTGTTTTATTCCTAGATTTTGTTATATTGTGGCACATATTTTGACTAAGTAGGCTCTTTGTTTTCTGAAAATGTCTTGTATTTTGACTCGGTTTGTTCAGAGATCATTACATCTGTTGTATCCAATTATTCTTCTTCTGGTAATACAAGGTCTTAGGACACTCTTATCCCCACCAAATATAACACCCCATACCTGATTACGAAGATTAACTCGGATACCTGAGCATATATTAGATTTTAATCATGTTGGATAAAACAAAAACCTAAACATGTATGATAAGTAGAAGTAATTTAAATTTAAAATATACATCACTCAACACGTGGAAGCAACCAATAAGAATATCAATCACAATATTTACACAATTGAATATCACAAGATAAACGTCATTTAAAATGCAAGGGTAATTTGTACATTTTACACCATATGCTTGTTCAAGTAAAATTCTTATTTTAAAGTTACCAATATTTATTTTTACCCATTAATTAGAGGCACACAAATTTTCAAGTTAATCGGATGTAAAACAGGGCCTAATTGAACATGCTCAACTTAGGGACTAAAATGTAATTTTTTTCAAAATGTGAAAATAAACCAAAAATATGAAATTGAAGGTTCCAATATGAAATTATTATAATTATAGAGTCATAATAATTTTTTAACAAAATCCGAGTTGAAACCAAGCTTTAACTGCAAAATCATCAAGGAGTCGATCCTTTTTTATGAAAAATGCATAAAATGCATACTAATGCACATGAACATGCATCCAATTGGTCATGCAATTGATCTTAGGGTCTACGAACATGCTTGGAAACCCTTAAACCACTTAGAACATGTCGCAACACATATGTAACATGCTTCATAACATCAATTAACAAATAATTCAAATATTTGGCACGCAAAGTCAAGATTTTCACAAAAGTAAACCACAAGTCACATATCTATTTTGTACATCATTGATAGTTTCATGCTTCCTATGAGTCTAACATATATAACATCATATCATAACTTGTTTAGGTGATCAAAATATGTATTTAAGACATAAATCATACTCTAGTCAACTTAGGCATACTTAATAATGGTGCATAACATGTAATCCAACATCAAAACTCATCATTTCATTATTCATTCAAGAATCAAAGCATAATATAAGTCATTATAGGTCACCTATGAACTAGCAAGTGTCAGAAGAACAAAACAACTTATAGGTCAATTAAGGATCCCATATTACCTCAAAATTAAAACCAAGATTCAAAATAACTTTACAAAAGCTCCCTTGCTTTAATCACCACCAAGTGCCTTGTCCCTCAAGCTTTCGATTCCACAATTAAAGATCTAAAAAATATAAAACAACAAACGTGTACTATAAAGCCCAGTGAATGACTAAACATTCAAATATGATGCACGTGCCAAGGCTATAGGAAAACATATCTAAATGCCATGAAACCTTACTTATTTTTACTTCAATGATCATACCTTAATGTCATGCTACAATGTTCACTTATTGCATCATAAATGCACACAAAATCCAGATTATAATCATTATTTACATCTTCATATACCTTGCAGCAAATCACATACACTTATGCACAATTACCTTTTCGACAGTCACATATTCCACATACATTGTTTCAATTAATGATCAATGGTCTTTGTTCAAAATAAAACTCACTCATTGTATAAATGGACTCCATACAACTCCCATTTTATTTGTAGACTCACATGGATCCAAAATCATGAAATTACAGAGCAAAGCTCAACGTCCGCCTTACCCCGTGTCTTCTTGGAGCATAGCTCAATGTACCAACCGAATCTTGTTAACCCGATCACACACACATATAAAACACATAGAGTATTCTTTCTTAAGCATGCCTTTCATATCCAAAGGTCCCATTAAGAACAAATGGCCAATTAATCTGAGTAAACAAGAGCAGTTGTCAATTATGCATAGTTTTTCATATATATTGGTTCAAAATCATTTTGAAACACAAATCACAATTGGTCGTCATGATCAACCCACATTATGGACAGCGAGATGATCGACTCATCCAAGCACATATTCACACTTAGAGATGGTTGTCATGATCAACCTCACACTTATGGATAGCGAGAATATTTGACTCATCCAATCACACATTCATATTATATATAAATTTTCAGAAAACATTATCAAAATTCTATACATCATTTGCAATGCATCGCATTCACATTTCATATCAATTGCACATTTCCAATTCACATCCTATGAATCACAATCTTCTAATACACTTATAGTCACCATGTCATATCATATATACACTAACAATGATCACATGTTTCTATTACATCATAGCTTATATTCAACATGATTTAACACTCATGCTTGCATATAACACTTATTCCCAATGCATCGTGAATCATAATTAATACATCATAATTCATATGATTATTTCAATCATATTCTTTCAATATACTTTTAACTCATAATCGACATGCTTTTATACACATGCTCATAAAGATAATAATATCATCAAAACACCTTAATCAACCCAAGAAAACCTTTAAAAGTGTCAAGAAAAATAACACAATAAATACCTCCGGAAATCACTTTTAATTCATAAGTTCTCTTTAAAACAATTGTTCAATTAAAATCATTAATCACATTTAATCATTGAAGCACAAAAAGAATCAAGGAAAAAGATAATTACCTTGCTCCGGAAATCACTTTTAATTCATAAGTTCTCTTTAAAACAATTGTTCAATTAAAATCATTAATCACATTTAATCATTGAAGCACAAAAAGAATCAAGGAAAAAGATAATTACCTTGCTGGAAAATGAAAGAAAGAAGAAAATCAACAATGGCAACACCAAAGAGATCAAAGAAAACCGACAAAGAAGAAAAGGAAAATAAACAATTTTGATTGAAGAGAGAAAATTAAGATGAAAGGAGCAAGAATCAATAACAAAGGAATAGAAAATTAAGAAGAAGAGTTTTAGTTATTAGATAAAACTTGAGAGTGTTTGGGAGAAAATACAAGAGTGTTTGGATGAGAGAAAATGAAAGGAAGAGTTAATGAAAATTAGAAATGAAAATAAGCAAAGATTAACAGAATGAATCTAGATGGAAAATTGGAAAAAAGAAGATTAAAGATACGGTTAAACTTGGAGGGAAAAATCATCCACACAAGCCTTGGTAAAATAAGCTTCACAAATTTTTGATTTGTGATCTTTTACGATTTAGTCACTAAAAACATAATTTCCAGTTCATTCAATTTAGTCACCTTGTAAAACCAAATTATAAATTCTCAAAAAATAGAAATCAATAATTCAAACATTTAAATCATTTTTAGAAAATATTTATCAATTAAAAATATTGATATTAATATTTTTACAAAAAATATATCTTAGAAAGAATTTTTAATGAGGCCCGTTTTCTTTTAAAAAAAATCAAAACCACATATATGTAATAAACGTAAATTTTATTTTATTTTATCTATTTTTAGCATAAATCTAGTTTCCATTTAAAATAAATTCCATTTGAATATAAATATAACTCATTTCAAATGAGAAAGATTAAAATATTTAAACCGCAAAAATCTTGATTGACATAGCTAAGTGTCTCGACGCGCCAGTGCTGAAAATGGGCAAAAATAAATACTGAATTATTATGTCGTCCTAGCTGTACTTGTATTATTTTTAGGAAAGGGTCGAAATGACTAAATGAGGCTCTTACTTTAAACATAACTACGAGATTTACCATACATATTTGCAGGTATGAGCTGGAATGTCAGTAGTGGTAGAAACGGAACGGGGAATTTATGGGAACGGAGAAGGAAAGGTGATTAGTATTACATATCATAAACACGCGGGAGGTCAACGGTCAAACATCCAAATGCTTTTCCAGGCCCAAAGTAAGCTACAATTTTATTTATTACAGTTTGAGACCAAGGAATGAAAATAATACTACAATAACGTAATTTTATTTAATATAATATCAAATTTATTTTATCAAGCAAATTTTATAAATATAACCGTTTTAAAAAATAAAGTTAAACACAATTAAATTTTATCACATCTACATCAATGTCATTGAAAAATATTTATATAAAAAATTATTTAATTAATAATTATACGTAATGTGATAAAAAAATCATATATATTTTATTTATATATATATATATATATATATATATATATATATATATATATAAGTGTCCGTAGAACAGATCCAATTCAAGTAAGGTGATCATAATAATTGTAAAATATTTTGAACATTTAAACAATTAAAGGAGTCACCTTGCTGATTGTATGACGAGTTAAATGAAATGGATAATAGTTGATGTTTACTATTAACGACGGATGCAAAAATTTATGTTAGGAGATAAATTTTTAAAATTTTAAATGAGGACAAGATTATAAAATTTTAAGGAGACGAAAATAGATTATCAATAAAAATTATATATTTAATTTGAAATTTTCAAAAGACGACTGGAATCCAATCTTATTTACGATGCTATAACTGAAATATTCCTACTGAATTGTACTTGTTGAACTTAATCTGGATATCGATGTCTGCTTGCTGTTTTTATTTTGCTGGAAGCATTTGACTGATATAATTATGTATATACACAGTTGTTGGATCACGCTTTATGCATATGAAATGCAATTGCAGGGGAGCAGAACCCAAGCAATTGGCCTTCTCTATAGCTTTGGGATTTACCTTGGGGGTATTTCCAATATGTGGTAATATTTTTTTATTTATTGGATAACTGGAGAAAGAAAATGAATGAAATTGAGACTGATAAATGCATGCGGGGGTTACGGTGGTTCTGTGTGGGATGGCAATAGCGGTGTTGGGATCATTGGCTAATGCTCCAGCAGTTATGCTTGCTAACTTCCTTGCTACTCCTATGGAATTAAGGTGCTCTATTTTTTTTAAAAAAATAATTAAATTAGTGTTTCGTAAGAATATTTTACTATTAATTTTTTTGAAATTATAATTAAATAAATAAAAAATGAGGGAATGTGTTGTGAAAACGGGCTAATTAACTCAGGAAATCAACAAGCAGTAAAACAAATAAAGAACACAAGATTTAATGAGGTTCGACAATGTGCCTACGTCCTCGGAAGCGATGAGCGGCTATTCTCTTTATTATTAGCAATAATAAAAAATTAGGTTACAATTACAATACATAAGAGTAATCCTGATACAATTACAAAAATACCCGAACCGTACCTAACAGAACGTGTAGCTTGATGGTGCCGTTCCTGAGGTTTGGGGAAGCACTGACGGGGGGAGAGGCTTTTGAATTGACATCAGATGCTTTAAACAAAGTAATTACAAGCCAAGCTTCCTCTCAACTCCTCTTTAGTATTGCTCGTGCGGTAAGTTCCTTTTCTTTCTCTTTTGATATATATATAATACTTCAATTTATTTTATATTATATCGTCAGCTTATTACAAGTCATGTTTAGTGTACCAAATTAAACATACCTTAATTATAAGACAAGTTTTATCTTCACTAGTAGTATCATTTTAGGTGGAAAGGGTGAGTTTGTTTATACCAATTCTGCAATAAGATTTGTGTTTATGGACATGTATGATGGCATTTTAATAAACAAATCATCTGAAATAATTGGTGGGTGCAGTTATTGGGATGGTTTGTTGCGGCACCCATTATTTTGGGCACACTCTACCTTGTATTTTGCCAATCTTCAAGTTCCTTATCCACAAGTTCAGCAACCCTCCCGAGCAGAAAGACCACCTTTCATAATTACAAGCACCAGGGGGATATGCTTTCACCTTTGTAAATTTTATTCTTTGCTAATGTATATGGACCGTCATTCACATTACCATAATGTATACCAAACTATTGTAAGCTTAATTAATTCAAGGATAAAAGATTGCTGCCTCTTTTGATAAAGCTTGTTGGAAGCACAATGAAACTTTTGTGTAATGGTTCCACCCAGCACACTGTCTCTCAATGACGACATAAGATTTTATACTAGGCGCGAACTTCTAAAATTCCATAGGAATGAAAACAAACAATTAATAGAAAATACAAAGAAAATATATAAACTATATGATAATTAGAACTTTTCAGGAAGGCAATTGCCCCAGGCCACCCCCTTGGGTCCATCTCTGGTTTTTTGTGTTATCTTAAAATCATTTGCTATAAAGAAGGAACAATACTAATAAAATCGAAACTACACAAGTCGGTCCATGCTTGTTGTAACAAGATGCATACATATGCCAAATCTAGTTCATGTTTAAACATAACAGATATCACTGCCCCATCACCGCAAGCAAGATCAAATACTACACAGGTTCTAACTGAGAAAACCATAATCTAGTCCAGCATGTCCTTATCCGCATGCTATGTGAAAACAGTGCCAAATACCTTTTATATAGTTTATACTTGAACTTCATCTATCCCACTCCAAATCAAGATGCTGCTTTGGGTTCACCTTTGGAGGACTCCCCTCAATGAATTTATGCGACTGATTCGTCAACCGATCCCATCCGATGATGTGGGGCAATGCAAACTGTGCAACATTGGACCAACATAAATTGCTCATTTAATTAAACCAAAATCAACCAACATAAGATTTATCAGCTCAAACAAGGTCTATATTCATCTATGGTCATCACCAATATAAGATTTCAGTTTCAGTCTTGTTCATATGTGATGAAATAAAGAGCAATCGAACAAATCAACTTCTCAGACATTTTTTCTTGTATTACTAAAAACCCTATTAAACTTAATATCTTGTCAAATTTATCCACTTCTTTCAGGTATATCTAGTAAATTAACCTATTAAACTATTTTAAGAACCACATAAATCCCATAGCTTCTTAAACGCTATGTCTAGCTTTGAAATGACAAGATGACTGCCCTACAGCATAAGCCAAATATCACATTAAAATGGGATTCTACTCCTAATTACTGATTACCAAGGTAATTTAAAGACTGCAAAGCTAATCTCACAAAGATATCTACAATATTTGTTTCCAATAATAGGAAAAATTCCAGTTACATCAGGGAGATAGCAATAAAGTTGAGTCGGTCATTGCATCATACACTGCATGCTGTCTTCAAGACAGCAAATTCAGCTGTTGTAACAGGTACATTAATGCGCTCAATTGATTTCAGAATGTTGTTGGTGACAGCTGCAAAGAAATCACAGAGGAAGTTAAAACTTATGTAGAACACCCAGACAGAAATAAGTTCAATCCAAGTTACCGTTCGTTACTGCAGATTACCTTATTCAGAAATAAAAGAATAATAGTGGCGTAAGAGTTAGGAAACATAGTATTGAGGAAAAATGGAATGAACTAAGGATTTGTTCTACACTTCCCAACTTATAGTCTCTTGTTTCTTCAAAATGCGTAACAAAGCACTTGAAACATACCTAAGGACATGATCTATTACTCTTTCAAGTATCAGTAGACCTGGCTTTTAAAAGGAAAACACAAAGCTTAAAGAAACTTAAAAATAGACATTATTAACGCCTAAAGGAAAATAATTGACATTGTTAACACTTAACAGAACCATAAGAAGCTAAGCTGCTAAATTTGCATAAATACCATTTTAGGCACCAAGCAAGGTATACAAGAGAAGAGCCTTGCTTAAATTGCTTTTCTAGGGGGCTCTTAGGTGCATTCTCACACCTCACAATGCCTGAACACGTGCTTTCAGCTAAAGTAGCAATAGCTGAAGATGAGAAGCATTTCCATTTCAATAGCACTGTCCGAGAAATAAGCATCACCTTTTCCCCTTTTGATAAAATGAAAGGACACTGGTTGTGAATCCGAGAGGACCCAATCCAAGATAACATTAGTGTGCCAACAGAGATTATTTTTCATGTTTTCAGAAAAAAGAAAACGTTATCCATACGTCTTTTTCTTGTGAACAAGATGACAGACATTTGGTCCAAGAAAATCTCAGAACTTCTCTATACAATGAACATGTGTAGGTCACCAATCCCCTAGAATAGCAGATGTTTCTGCTCCCAGGTGTATCTATTCTACTACAATCTCTATCAGTCAACCATTATCCTTTAAAGCAACCTTAGCGAAGCAGTGATAAAGATTATTAGTATTGTCCTAGACAATTATGCTCCGATTCCTAGACCTTCCCTCCATAGATTATTCCAGAAAATATTAATTCAACACTCGCCAATCTTTCAAAAATTCAACAAAATCAAGCTTGCTCTCTCTTGGCAAAAAATAATTTAGTGTCATCAAGCATCCAATTAGTATCTTTCATGCCTGATAGTATGAAAATAGGTCAACTACATGGAGCAATCTTGGCTGACAAGTTGAGCTCTACAGTCTAGTCCGTTATAACTGACAAATGGTACCATATATTTCATCATGCCCTTCTCATGCGATTTTATTTAGGGAATTTCTAGACACACCAATTGTGCCCATTCAACAATTTGTCTACATTAAATTATAAAAACCTATTACCCACCTGTTACTCAGACTCAAGTATAGTGTTGGATAAAGGTATATGTCCAATAAGTTTTTCCATCTTGGAGGGTCATATTCCCATATCCATGTCCAAAAATATGTCCAACATGAGTGCTGGAGACTTCATGAACAAGGAAGAATTGGAACAACATATTTCCTAGCGACCAATAGAAAATTTTCATCCTCTACAACTACACAAGTTGTTCCTAGGAAACGTGTTTTGTCATATCAATTTCAATTTCAGGTCCAGAAGAACGGAAGGAACAAAGAACATCCGACTTCAGTTATAATATCTATTACAGAAAAGAAAACATACGATAGAAAAGGACCTACTCAAGAAACAAAATGATTTGGCAAAACAAAAACAAATCAAGAAATTATGAACTTCTATTCTTGACCTGCTTTAGAAATCAACCAACTGGTTCACTACAATCATTGGGCTTAACAGTAGGTTTTACATAAATCTCATTTTGCCCCTTGGAGGCATCCCAAGTTTCTTCTGATCATATTTTTTTTTGATAGGAATAGGAGGTCTCATTAAAAACCTCCCACTTAGTAGTCCTTTACCCTAAGGCAAGAACCTACTAGCTTTAGGAGGAAAAGAGTACCTCAGTTTATCAATGATGAACCGATTACATAAGACTTCTAAAAAAGCTCCTGCAAAATACATAAGACAAAACGCACTCCTCTATCACCTTAACTGTAAAACAAACCAACCAACTCAAACAGATTACACCATCACCCAATCCCCTCCTTTACTAGTTTATCGGCCTCAGTATTACAACACCTAGGAATCCACCTGACAATAAACTGATTAACAGAAACAATAGACACTATATCCTTAACAAAATTATTGAGAAAAACAGGAACTAAAGCAGGATCTATGATCCAGTCCACTGCTAGCTTGGAATCACTCTCAATGATTAGCCTACCCTTCGAACCCCACTCTGAAGAAACAAATATGTCAATGCCTTTTCTGATAGCATTCAGTTCTGCTAGAATAGGAGTAGTAGGACAGACATTTTCTGAAAATGAAATAAGTTTCTGATCATATAATTCAAGGTAGGTGATCTAGGGACAGAGATCTCACCAAGATCAATCTAATACAATCAAAATATCAACTTTTCACTATGTGCAATACCAGTGGTGATGAAAGAATCCAAAATTGCCAGCTAAAAAATCTGTTCTTGACAGAACTGATCCTCTTTCTCACAAATAATTTGGAAGTAATGTCCAGCTTTTAGGAAAAACAAATAAATAAAAAGCCACAATAAATCTACAATGTTGCTTTGAGAGAGCACAACAATAATGTTGAAAACAAAGAAACTAATTAGAGAGGGAGTACTTACTCAAAGAAACCATGTAGCCATTACCACCATCAAGTGCTTTAATAAATAACTTCTTGCTTACTTGACCAGCATTGCTGTTGCAGAAATTATTTGTCAACTTAACAAATTAATATACACACACGTTAATAAAAGCTATAATTGCTTCCGGCTAAATGAATATAGAAAAGAAACAAGTGCAAAAACAAACCTAGATTTCATTGCAGGGTCATGGTAGAATTCAGAGGCATCATGAGCACCCATGCTTATCAAAGATCCAACTTCCGTCGGCGACAAAGCAAATTTCTGCAAAATGGTAACAAAATCAGTAGGCCTAAATGCTAAGGGTTGACCAGGAGCAAAAAGACTGTGACAGAGATCAAGGCAAAATGTTATCATAAGCCAAATATATCCAGCTAAGAGCATGCTATATTCCAGTCTGATCTCCTGATTAGAAAAACAAAATTCACATGGTTTTGAGCTGTATTTATCAATGCACTAAATGTTTAATGGGGAAACAAGAAGGAAATACTTACCTGTCTCTTCTCCCAATCATACTTGCGCTCACCAATAGCAGGTAAGAAGGTCAACATCATCGAACCACGTCGATCAACTCTAAGGCCGCCGTTGGCAGACTACGAACACAATTCAAAATGAAAGGCACCATCCATTAGAATGAGAGCCACAGAAAGGGAAACATAACTACAAATATTTCGGAAAGGCAATGGGAGCATACATCTATCTTACTGAAAGTCGGAAGAAGAGGAGAAACGGAGAGTGCAGCTTTTCCCTTGTATATTGTATAAGGGGCGAACACACGAGCATTGGCACTGGAATTTCCTGCAGCCATATGAAAAAAATATATATAAACACGAGTTATTATTAGGAAGCATTTATGAAACAATGCAAATAAAGGAACTCGATACCTGTAGCAGCAAAACCATGGATAGATGTTGAAAAGGCTGCTCGAGGTTCAAAACCTTGTGGACATAAAGCACCTCTAGAATCACCCCATTTCCCAGACAGCAGTGTTTTGGAAGAATGGTTCCTGTTTGCAGTGAAAACATTACTACAAACAGGAAAACCCCGTATAGTTATGTATGTAAATAAGAAATACTAGTCCTTGCAGAACGAAAACCCCGTGCTCTGACAGTGAAAAAATACCTTTGAAAATAAAAATTTACCCAAAAATAAGAATCACTAAAGACATTTGAAAAATTATTTTTTTAGGGGGTTAGGGGAAGACGAAGAAGCTAGGGCTTAGTTGAGGTTTTAGAAAGTTAAAAAGAAAACGAGCAAAGAAGACGATAGAATATAATAGAATAGACATTTCGATTCTGCTTTCTCAAGAACCATAAATCTTCAAGTAAAACAAACTAATCAGGGTTTTCGAATGTAAGCTTTTCAAAAAAATGAAAAAAAACCTGTAGAGCAAAGAGCGCCATCGGTTCAACATCTTGGTGCAGGTGAGTGGAGTGATGGGTACCTGCTCGGCCTCTTGGTCAAAATGACTTTATACCAGCTATTAAAATTGCTTCTACTTGCCCTTTTATTAGGTTAAAGAAAGATTTATGAACAAATATACCATTTTTTTAATTATTTATAAATATTACACATTTTTAAGATTATATTAAAATAATATCTATTTGTGTCATTTAAATAAATATATACATTCTCTGTCGTATCTTTTAGAAAATGTGTTCGACTAAATATGTTTTTTTCCTAAATAGTATAAACAATTTAAACAAAAGAAATAAGATATGTTGGATCAAAAACGCATTGGTTCAAATGGTAAGTAGCTTGATATTGTTTAAGCAAGATCTTAAGTTTGAATATTTGTGTATGTAGAAAATCCTATTGGGAGACTCACTCACCAAAATTAAGTGTACAACGTGGATCGATCCACATTAATAAGACAAAATCTTAAAATCGAGAAGAAAAAAACACCTTTTATGAAATGGACTACCTTTGATTTTAAATTTAGGTTAGTAGCTCAATGCTGTATGAGGTTTAAGGGTTAGAGTATTATTGAATTCGTTTTGAATGTTATGGTTATTTTATGGTTTTGGGTTTTTATAGGAATTTTCAATTTTGTTTGGAAAAAAAGATTTTAGGATTTCAATTATTTAGGGTATTGAAACTTAACGTTATGAAACATTGATTTAGAATTTAAGGTTTAGTTAGAAAAATTATTTATATTGTTATAAATACAATAAAATCATCGTATAAGAAGATTTGCTAAGAAAAAATTATTTTAAAAAAGGTTAAGTTTTTTTTGTTGTCTACTAGCTCCAAAGTTTTGCTCTGATTAATCTGGACCGACTCGAGCCGCACACTGTTTTTGGTGGGTGAGTCTCCCAATAGAGATTTTTTACATACACAAAGACTCGAATTTGAGACCTTACTTAATCGATATGAAGCTGCTTACCACTCAACCTAACCTCGTTGGTCATGGGTCCAAAGGTTAAGTTTAATTATTTAGTTTTTTGTGTGACAAAGATTTTAAAATATAGAGATTTGTTTTGAAGTATTTAAGGTAATCATTCAAATTGTTGTCCATAATAATTAATTAAAGTAAGAATTTTATGAATATGCTCAAATTAAAGGGTTACTAATAAAGAATGAATAAATGATAAAACAAAGAACATGTAGAAATACTTAATAATCATAACAAAGCTTAACATAACATAATGTGTTGACGAAAAATATCAACATACATTCAAGAAAAAACAATTATTATGTCTTACAAAAAAAATAAACAATTATTATGTGCTACAAAAGACCACCCTACTACAACATATATACATCGTGCATCACTAGTCACGATTAAATAGTCCACATAGATTGTAGGGCTTATAGATGTAAAATTGACCTAATAGGCGAGTTAATTATTTAGCTCAATACAATACAAAACAAATTATTAAAGAATTTATGACGTGGCGAGTTTCAATAAAAATATTTTTGATTTAAAATTTTTACCTTAATAAAGAATATTATTTGAGCAAACTCTTCACGTCAATGTAACTAGTTTACCATGTACTATAGCATTTACTGTAGATTATAAAATAAATTTCAAACTGACCTATTGAACTAATTAGAGGTTGTTTATTTGGCTCTGAATGGAACCATTTAGCGTTGAATGTTGAACTGTTCAACATTCAGACTGTTTGTTTTTCATCTCTGAATGATTCGGTGCTGACTGATTCAGCAAAATAGTGCTGAATGATTTAGCACAGAAGTACATTCGGAATGATTCATAGCCATTATCAAACAACATGTCACATTCAGAGCTAATTCATACAAAGCATCTGAATCATTCAATATTTAAATCATTCAGCACTTAATCATTCTGAAGTAAACAAATAACCCCTTGATTTTTCCTCCTGATCTAATGGGCCAAAAAGAACCGGCTTATAGATCCACGACAATTTGGGCATGGACTGTATGTCCCATAACACAGACAAAGGGAATGATTTGGTGACTAGAGGGGTACATTCGATGATCCTACAATAGTGCAATAGAATATCAAGGTCCCTCTCCTCGTACCAAAAGTCAAGAGTGGATAAAATTCGATAACCTTTAGGTTCCCAATACCTTATACATAATAAATATAAGCCAAGAAATATGTGACTTTGACTAACCCTTGATCGGAGGCTTGTTAGCAAGGGCGGATAAGTATATACCTATTATTTTGAAATAATTGTAAAAATTAGCCTAATATGTTTAAGGGAATGAAAAAAGAAAAAATATTGCATATTTATTTTATTTGAAAAAAGTGTATAATCTATATGCTATAATTTCTATATCCGTCACTACTTGTGAGAGGAATTGTAAACCGAATTCTAACATCCGATACTAACCAAGGAAGCACTTATGTTCCTATGCCCAATACAAGTACAACACATATGCATATTATTAACAACCATTATGTCCACGAAACAAGCCATAGTTGAAGACAAAGACTGGCAACAATAATTATGCCAGGAAGTAATCGTGAATATAAAATCACTACTACAAGCCTCTACATACGAAAGAAAACCGTAAAAACTTACGAGCATTACAATATAATTTGCGATCTTTGGTAATACATCAAGCATAAGATCAATATGCAAATTTAATATTATCCCATCATTTTTAATATTTAACTCTTATAAATTCTTTTAATAGTCTCAAATGATTATAAGATAAAAAATAACAACACTTCATTTTACTAGTAAAACTGCTGAATGAATTCTTAGTTCTTATATTTCAATCTAACATGATTTAATATGTTATTCTTATAATATTATTAGTTAATCAAAATTATCCACATTGTTACTATTTTTGTTAAGATGCTAACACGTATTTTCTTTTCAGAACACGTGATCTAATATAAAAGATCTGCTTTAGAATGACTTGTTGGATAAAGTGTTTTCAAGGAAAAATCATGTCATTATATAACTGAAATAATTAGTTATATTAGTTATTTAAATTAATTATTATTCCAAAACTTCATAGGACTGTGTTCCTTGGATACATTTTATTACAATTACAAGACAAAAGCAGAACATGGATCAGAACGAGGGAACATGCATCACTATATTAAGTACAAAAATACACTCAAAGTTTAAAACTTAATTTAACTAAGTAGTTAAAGGAATTGTTGTTATTCCCATAGATCACATGTTCGAGTACTAGCGGCTGTAACAAAGTGATTGAGCGTTCTTGAATCTGACTGCAATGTTGGAAAGGCTATTGTGGGCAGTCAGGATGCCTCCGATTCCTTCGTGGTGTGCCGACGGACTATCCTGTCTTCCGAGTGGGATTTTCCATGTTGGACCTCCACCCTGCAACCAAAACATATATACTCTTCAACATTGTTCTAGCTCTAACATGGAATCCAAACAATTCTAATTGATAATAACAGAAATACATACCAATAAAACAAAAATTTGAGCAGCAAGGGCAAAATATCGACGCACGAGACAACACGAGGGCAGGCTTTCCCTAACACTATTTTGATATCGTTGATAACAGCGTATCCATTGGTCAAAAGGTTCGTGGCGGCAATTTTTTCACTGTTTGTACCATTCAGCAACAGTGAGACATCGCAACCCCGTATGTGTACGTGTATAAATGCCAGTGACTATTGTCCGCGTTTTGTGAGTACTTAATATGGACGCGAAATATGAGAAATTATACACAGTTGAACAAGTAATACAATGATGAGTGAGTATCATCTCCACAGGGATTGGAGCAAATTTATAAGTTCAGTCAAAGCAAAGAACTACTTTATCTAAGTATAGTTAGTGTGATGGTATGTACTAATGAGAATGATGAGGCAATGTGAAATGTATGTTGGTGAGGATATAATAATAGTGTGATGTGGCAACAAATGGAGATGTTGTGAAAAAAAATAAATTTTATATAGTGAAATCAAATGAAAATGTAAAGGCAAAATAAAATGTAAACACATATTTGAATAGAATGACTTGACAATCCTCACACAACAAGCTACTATGGGAATGAATGATAGAAGTCACTTAGGAAACTTAAGTCTATCTTCTTAGGATGGTCTTGCTTCTATGTCTTACTTTCCCATCAGAGTTTATGAAAATACGCTATGATATCTATTGGGATTAATGAAGAGGCTCAATTGACAACCGAAAAAGTGCAAAGGGGGTAAATAGATAAAATTGAATATAGGGAGTACGGAAAACAAAAAGATAAGACAATATGGCACAATGATTTAAAGTGGTTCAACTTATCAACCAAGTCTACATCCACTATCTTAGCTCCTCACTAAGGATTTTCTAACAAATTCACTAATTTGTTCTTTCTTTTTCAAGGACAAAGAGATAACCTTTACAACTCCCTATCTTTTCACTTGGCTAAGATAGAACCAAAACCCTTTACAAAAGGAAAAAAGAATGTAAACAAGAAAACCCTTACAAGGTAGGTGTTTACAAAATTGAAGCTCACTAAAACACAATATTTACAAGAGAAATGAAAATAAGATTGGAAAACTCTTCTCTTGTGTTTGACTGCTTGGATAGGTGTTTTCTAACCCTTCTTCAGTGTCCTCAACTTGTATTTATATGTTGGAATATTATTTTGTGATCGTTTCTAGCCGTTGGAAGTGGTTTGGAGCCGTTGGGGGATCAATTTTCATGCAAAATAAAGCTGTCCAGACCAAAGGAGTATCGGTACTAACTTTGTTATATTTAAATCAACTAGTCGTTGGGGCCTGATGGTATCGATACTATGTCAATGGTATCAATACTACTATACAAAGTAGTATAGGTATCCTTTGGGTATCAGTACCATTTTTGCATTCTGGAATTTGAACAAAGCTGGTAGTATCGATACTACCTAGTAAGTATCGATACTTCCCTTACCTTGGTATCGATACCATATGAACAATATCGATACTTGTTCATGAGGTATCGATACTGTAAGAACAATATAGGTACTACTTGTACAAAAACTTATTTTGTGCTCAATTCCACTTTTAAGGACTTTGAATTATTTTTGAAAACTTTGAATAAATTCAATTC